GTCAGGACTCTGACAACAATCTGACGCATTTCAGGCCTCATAAGTCATTCAAGTTCTCATGTATGGGCGTTCAGTATCCGTTCCAGTCCTTAAACAACCTCGATCTTTCGTGTCTGATTTCGACTGTATGAATTTGTGAAACGTTGGAAGGACCTCATTCGTCGTAAGGATATGAGACTAGAAAGGCCCAGTCCCACATTGCTCGGAGTTCCGAAAGTCTATCGACGCGTAATAACCTCCGACTGAAATTCACTTTGTACAATTTTAGCACTTTCATGCCTGGAATTTGGTCTTTTTAACGAATTTTTTTAATCTTTATGAAGATTATGCTATCCTGCATACTCCCAAGCATCCATCCGATTAGGTCCTCGCCAAATCGGCAAACCCTAAATAGGATGTCCAAAGACCTTTGATGAACATAGCAGGCCACCCACCACATCTTTCATCACCACTCATGAGGAAGATGTCCCCTTCTCCACGTCACTCTGAGACAGAGACTCGGGCTTTGGCTCAGCCAGCTTCTGCTGTGTCGCAGCTGGTGGTGGCCCCCCGGGACCCTGGGGCTTCTTCACACTCTTCCACTCGAGCAAGGCAGCGGGGAGGGCGCTCAAGCAGGCCATGATTACAGCAATCTGGAAAGCTTGGCGCAGGGCGTGGCCATACTGGTCGATCACCACGCCGATGTACTGCTCGGGGACGATGGCACGGAAGCCCGTGGCGCCCGCGTTGATAACATCCATGCCCGTGACGCCCGGGATGGCGAGCGCATCCACGTTCTGCAGCAGTCGGCTGTTGAGGACATTGTTGGCCGCGCTGATCAGCACGCTGCCGCCGAGGCCCTGGAAGAGCATGGACACCGAGATACCAGTGGGGATATCGCGCGGCGGCAGGACGATCTGCGCGGCAACCTGTGGCAGCTGAAAGCCGCAACCTGATCCAAAACCAAAGAGGATTTGGTAGCCGATCCACTGAGCTGTGGTTGTGCTGGGCCCAAGGGTCGACAACAGCCCAGCACCAATGGGCGCGAGAACCACAGCGAGGTAGATGAAGGGAACATAGTACCCAATTTTGCTGGTACCAAAACCCGCAAACAGAATACCAATGACGTTGGGCAGAATGAGGGGTATGGTGTCCAGGCCGGACTGTAGAGCGGTCTCGCCCTTGATGGCCTGGAAGTAGATAGGGATGAAGTAACTGAGCAGGAAAAAGGTGCCAGCAAGACAGAATGTGAAGATGCTGGAGGCGAAGATGGTCCGTTGTTTGGCAATGCGCGGCGGCAGTGTTCCGCCTTCTCCGAGCCAGACCTGGCTGACGCCAAACGCAATCAGAGTAACTCCAAAGACCACAAAGAGCGCAATCATCTGCGCGCTATTCCATGCATACGTCGTGCCGCCCCACTGGAGGGTGAACAAGAGACAGATGATGCTTGGCACGAACAAGACGAATCCGATGGGATCGAGGTTCCATAGCAGTTTGGCGAGACCCATCTCCTTCAGAGGGCTAGGTTTGGGTGGCAGACGCAGGGAGAAGATGATGAAGGCGGCCGACACGGCACCGAGAGGGAGATTGATCCAAAAGCACCAGCGCCAGGTGACTTTATCAGTGAAGACGCCACCAACCAGAGGGCCCACGACGGACGCAATACCGAAGATACCACCATAGAGACTCTGGTACGTGGCGCGCTTCTCCATGGGTGTGATATTGGCGATGATGATGAGGCCTCCACTGGAGATGCCCGCACACCCAACACCAGCAATGGTGCGCTGTTTACATGAATGTCAGCATCATCATACCTCCGAAGAAATCATAGAGGAAGTACTTACGCCGACAATCAGCATAGCCGAAGAATTCGCAGCCGCACAGAGAACTGAGCCAATCTCAAAGATGAACAAGGCAACCAAAAAAGTCCACTTCAGGCTGAAGAAGCGGAAACACCTGCCGAAGGGCAGCTGGAAGGCGCATTTTGTGAGCAGATACGACGAGCCGTACCAGCCAACATCTTGCAGCGCGTGGAACTGGTCCGTTATGCGTGGGATGGCTGTGGCAATGATGGTGCTGTCCAGCGCGACGCAGAACAGGGAGATGAAAAGGGCGAACAAAATGGTGCCAAAGGCAAGGCCTGTAGGGTACACTGGAGGAGCCGGAGGCCCTGGGGGGGGGATGGCTGCTGCTTGCTGTTGCTGCTGTATTTTGGGCTCTCCATCTTGGTTTCGTGGGGGGTCAGCGACGGGCGAGCCTTCACGGCTGGCCTTCTCGGCTTGGGACATTGTGTGTGGTGGTGGTGGTGGTGGTGGTGGTGTGTTGAACAGTAGGCAAAGGTTGACGCGATTTGCTTCGCTTCGCTTGGCTCTGGTTGATGGCAGGAAAAAGCTGGCTGCCCGTGGGGAGGAGACAGACGTCCTTACTGAGAGAAGAAAGAATGCTTTTACCCTTTCCGGGCAGTGACTTGATTGTCCATCAAACCGCCTGACTCACGCAAAAGGAAAGGTAAAAATCTGTTTGCTGGAGTTTCGCGACTTTCTCGCTTTGCGGCGGCCATCATCGAGGCGTTCCATGTTGTCCCTTGCATTCCCGCATAACCCCCTACCCCAAACCTGTCAGGAAGGGGCGATGGCGGGCTGGCGAATGCGGAGGCTGCTTTGGTCACCGAAGCTTTATCCCCATTGGCTGACCAAATTGGTAATTCACGACTTACACGTTTCCCGGACCCACTTATTCTCGACACATCCCCCGGACCCGCCTTCGGGCCCCTTTTGGTCTCGGGGCTTTCGGTTGACGGGGGGAGGACGCGCCGACACGGGTCATCCCGCTTCTCGGGGCTAAGAGTGGGATTAGAAATTCGAATACACCATGCAATCAAACGGTGACCGTTGCTGGAGGGCGCAATCGCGAACCACCGTCGCCGCGAGTAAGACGGCCATCGTCCGAGAGTCTCAGCCCACTGCTCGCTCCTTTGGCATGACCTCGCGAGGCGTCAGGGGGGAAGAATTGATGGTATAACAGTTGGGATACCTCTGCAACTTAGCAGAGTCATGTTGGCAATTTTGATAGATACCAAGATTCAGCATTTGTGTGCTGCCACCAAAGAGCGGAATTCAACTGGAACTCGACAGACGCTGTGAAGATTGTCCATCATGGCGCTTCTCTTCTCACTTTACAAGCTCGCCGCCCTGGCCGTGGTGGGCGCTTTTGCCAGCCTGGTCGTGGCATGGATCAAGCGTGACCGGCGGCTCGACAAGATGCCGGGCCCCAAGGGAAAGTACCCCTTCATCGGCATCGGCATCGGCCTGCCCCGCAAGTCGGCCGAGGTCCTGGGTCAGTGGGCCATCCAGTACGGCGAGGTCTACAAGATCCGCGTGGGCTGGTTTGACTGGGTCGTCATCAACAGCCCCGAGGCCATGCGGGACATTTTCGACAAACAGTCCGTCAGCACGTCGTCCAGGTCCCCCATGCCGCTCGCCCATGACGTCGCCGTGGGCGGCATGCGCATGAACACCCTGCCGTACGGAAAGAAGTGGCGGGCATACCGTACCATCGTTCATGGCCTCCTATCCACGACCTTGACAGATCAGTTCAACCCGTCGCAGGAGTTTGAGACAAAGCAGCTGCTCCACGACTTCGCCTTCAACAACGAAGATGGCAAACAGTTCTACTGGCACGTGCGCCGCTACTTCTTCAGCATCCTGATGACGTCCTGCTATGGCTCTCGTGTCGACAGCTGGGAGCATGAGGACGTCCAGAGCGCCATCCACAGCACAGGACTTCTCAGCAAGATCTCCAAGCCAGGAACGTTCATCGTCGATGAAGTTCCCTTCCTCGCAAAGCTGCCAGCCTGGCTGCAACCCGGCCGAAAGCTGGCCGAGTCAGTGAGACTGCCAATCCTCAACGCTAAGCTCAAGCTCTGGAACCGGCTCGAGAAGCAGATGGCGGCCGGCGAGGCACCCATGTGCTATGGCCGCCAGCTGCGCGAGACAGCCAAGTCGTGGCGGGACCAGGGTTTGACAGACGAGGACTTTGCCTGGATCGTTGGCGGCATCGCCGACGCCGGCTCGGGAACTTCGACCGTCACCTTCAACGCCGCCATGCTGTACATGGCCGCCAACCCCGAGATCCAAGATAAGTGCTACGAGGAGCTCATGCGGGTCATCGGCCCGGACCGCACCCCTGGCATCGCCGACATCCCGAACCTGCCCTACATCAACGCCTGCATCAAGGAGACGATCCGGCTCAAGCCGGTCCCGCTGTGGTGCATCAAGCGCTACGCCGACGCCGACGTCCGGTACAAGGACTACATCATCCCCAAGGGCACCGTGCTGCTCGGCAACACCATCTTCCTCGGGTCCGACCCGAACAAGTACGACAGTCCCGAAGAGTTCATGCCCGAGCGGTACCTGGGCTTCCCCAAGTCCAGCTTTGAGTACGCCGCCGGCGACCAGACCAAGCGCGACCACTTCTCGTTTGGCGTCGGCCGCCGCGTGTGCCCCGGCGCCAAGCTGGCCGAGCTGACCCTGGACCTGGCCTTGGCCAACATCCTGTGGGCGCTCAAGGTCGAGCCGCCCGCGGGCATGATGTCCGTGGACGCCGGCCCAGACGCCTGGGACGACACCGAGTTTAAGGCCCCCAAGCCGTTTGCCGTCCGCTTCGAGCCGCGGAGACCCGACGCTCTCACCTTCACCAAGAGGCAGTGGGAGACGGCGAAGCGGGAGGGCTACGTCCTTGGCAACGGAAAGCGCGTCAATGTGAACGGCGTCATGTCTGTGTAATCCTACATCATTCTTCAGTGGCTGTAGTCCTTTTTTCCTTCCTTTTTCGGTGGGAGGCAAATTCGGGACTTGGCAGAGGCCACAATTGGACTATATGTGGAGGGTGATGGCTCGCGGAGGAAAGCGTGGTCGTGTTAGAAAAAGAGAAAGAAAAAGAAGACGAATAACGCTACGAAAGAAAGTAGAAGGAGCAACAATGAAAACAATGCAAAAAGAAAGGCAAAAAAGGATTGTCTTGACCATGACTGGGAATCGAACCCAGACCCGGTGCACTCCAGAAGGAGTCTTGTAGTCATTTCCGACCATTTCGACGCGCCCGATAATGACCATTATACTAACATGGCCACTTTGACTTTGGATTGTGAAAGATTACGCACAAAACGTTTCTTATGTGGTTACCTGGTTGCGGAGTTGGATTGGAACGTACCCTACCACCCAAAAAAAAAAAATCAAGAATGGTGAATTGCATCCAACACAGATAGCCCGTCAATAATTATTGAAAATGCGCTCTTCAATCTCTCTGATCATTTTGGCCCATTTTTGGTTAGGCGCCCTGATCGACTGCACCATTGGATGGCTAGGATTATTGCATTTTCGATGTTTTGTCTCAGCATGAATATTGCATAGTAACGAACACGCTGAGCTTCTAGATAAGGGTTCAAGTGCGGCACAGAATAGGTACTACCTTGGTATATACATAGCACCTAGGTACCTACCTAGTACCGAGGTGAACAGTCGACGCACCGGGCATTGATGTTGCCAAATAGTCGCTCCATATGAAGCAAGCATGTTTGTCTCGCCTTTCCACTGCTATTATTGCCACCAATAGTCCAATCCTTTCTTTTTCTTTCTCCATTTTTTCCCTCCTTATTTAAAAAGGATGTTTCCTTTTCTTTTTGTTAGAAAAAAAAAAACACTGAGACGTGCTATCGAATCTTTAGCGGTCTAAGAACTAAGCTGACGAACAAGAATTTTCAAAAATATCCGCTACCAGATTTGCAAAACACCCATTCAATATCAAACCAACTCCTTGTTTGATTCGAAGACCCTAAGTTAATTCCCACACCCAAGCGCCTCTTATACCTTCATTTCCAATCCCTCATACCATCAGCATCTCGATATTACGGTCCCCTGTGGCATAAACGTCGGAAGAATCAGGGTGAAGATATAGGCATTGCAACACCCTAAAACCGACAAAGAGGATTTCCCTTTCCTCCTTCGGAGCTAAGAAGTTGCCGCCTTAAGCTGAGCCAGGCTGAGTCAGGCTGAGCGAGAGGTCATTTTTTGGGCTACCTGGTTATACTTGCCATAATTTGAAGATGGCATCCTGAGCCCAATTTCAGGACACTGGCGCTCCACCACCTAGCCACCCCCTCTCATTCTTTCTACCCTACTAGGGCAAACGATCACCTCGGTTACCTATAAATGAATTGGAGGGATGGGAAGGATGGCGCAGTCATAGTTACCTAGTATAACTCTATGCCGATCATCGCTAGCCCGCAGCTATAGGTTCGTGAATACGAGGATAAGAGAGCAGGTGCTATAGCAGCTGCTTATTAAAGGGCACGAGAATATGAATGATTCGTATAAAGGCTACTTAAATAGATATAGAACGCTCTCGTAATTCTAGCTGGCCGGTAATAAAGAATCCTAATAGGGTTTATAAGCTAAAGTATTGCAATCCACACACAGGGTGTTTGAACTGCAAGGCGGTACGCCAAGGGTTGGGTGGTTGAGTCACGTAGGGAAGGTAAGCTCCTTGAAAAAGGTCGGTTGAGAGTATTGATACACACGTGTGGAATGCCTTCACAAGTAATGAAGCAGATGAATGTGTATTGCGTACTTGCCGAGCTCCATAAGGGAGACTCGGCCTATCTGTTTATATAAGTCGTGTCTTGCTCTGTGTGCTCTGTTGGAGAGCTCACAGAGCAGAGCTCCTATTGGCTAGTCTGAGCAGCTCTGTGTGCTCTGTTGGAGAGCCCATAGAGCCCCGCTCTGATTGGTCCCCTTACCCGATTGGTGCGTGACCCTAGCTCCCCCTATTAGGCTCCACTAAGCTACGTCTCAAAATCGTGACACCCTCGGCTATCCGATTTTCAACGAGTTTCGAAACCGCATAAACATACATCGGTTCACTTTGCTCCATATCCTCGTTAGAAATCATAGGATTCGCCATTTGGGCGAGGACGACACGTATCCATCGCTCGATGCTAGACTACTGAAGAACATGGCCACCGAGTGCTAGCGTCTGCGGGGCCTGCGTGCGGAAGACGAAGTGGATTGTACCAGACTCGAAGAATACAGTCTGTCCGGGCTTGAGAACGACGTATCTCCATCGGCCGCCTGTATAATCGTCAATGGTCTTCCACCTCTCTTCTTCCTCCTCTGTCAGGCTCGCCATCCAGCCGAAACCCATGCCTCCCTCCTGGACGGTGATCCAAGTGGAAAGGCCATTGCTATCCATATGTGGTGCGGTGTGATGGCCGCCCTCCGACAATAGGACCCATTCTAGAACGTTCTTCCACTGGTTCCAGCTTTCACTGGACGCCGCGACTCTTTCAGCACTTTTCTCCATTAATATGGTGTTTCTGACATGGAGAAGAAGCCCACTGTTCTCGCCAGTCAAAAAGTGGGGCAAGATCGATGTTGGTAGTGGGCTCTGAAGGTCGAGAATATTCCACGGGCTGTCTGTGTATTCCTTGGAAAGAAATCGTCGTCGTGCTTCGAGGAGTGTCCGACCCTCAAATGAATCTTCCGTTGAGCTACGGGATGGTATTTGTACGGAGACTGTCCTTTCAAGGCAGGTCATGCGGCGGAAAAGCTCGACGATTGGTCGGTCGCTCTTGTTCCATTGCAATTGCTGTTGGCCTTCGGTGATGATGGGGACGCCTAGGGGAGGTACGGACTCAACAAGATGAGCGGCTTTAACACCGGTACAGCATAGGGCGTCAACTGGACCGCGACTCTCGTCGGTATTAGGCAGTCTTATATTCCCGAGCAGAGCCTGCACTAAGTAGGTGGTTCCCTTGCCATGCGAATTTGGTGGCAAGGCACGTATTGTACCTTGTATTTCTGTTATCTCTTAAAAGGCTGAGTAATGTCGGGCAGCGAGGCTGTCTGAGGACAGGCAGGAGGATCAGCCGGAGATGTTGCCTTCTGCGTAGCAGGGCCCCTGGTCCAGACATGGTCAAGCAGTAGCTTTGTGTGGTGATGGCAGAGTCGGTTGCGGATAAGGAAGAAATCCTCTGCATTGAACGTGGCGGCATCATCGAAGGTCCCTAGCAGGGTGGACTGCACAGGACAACACGACGATGGTGGAGCTTTGGGGATGTCAGAGGCCTTGGCGGAGCTACGGTTCGGAGCCTCTGGGTATTCCGGTCAACAATGTCGGTTCGGTTGATGCACAGGGCGTCCACCCAGACCTTTAAGCCAAGTCGGCACTCGTAGCTTTCTCGCAATTCTCACAGGGCCGCCTCCAGATGTTTATTCACGACGGTGAAACGCCGTCCAGGAAGACTGTGGCCTTTTCTCCCGTGTAACCTCCCCAAGTATAGCTTAGGCAGATGTAATCACCCCAAGTGAGCCTTGCGACGGTGTCGTGATCTCGTGCTCAGGCGTGGCGAGCGTGAATACGAACCGGTCGCTCCAGGCTTCGGAGAGCTGGAAGCCGCCCATGGTCGATGCGTTTTGGTACGAAAAAAGGTATATTCAGGCTTCTAGTCATTTAAAGATATATGGTGTAGACTGAGGTGTATGCTGAGACGTACTGGGCCGTATTCGGAGGTGTCTTCGGGGGAGAGCAGGCGAATTTCGCTCTAGAAGACGTCGAAGGGACGATACTGATCTTTTATCTCCAAACTCTGCTTAAATTGCTCGTTGCTGACGGACATTTTCGGGGAGTAAACTGTCGTTCTTCGATGCGTTGGCGACAGTGCCTGCGCTCACCAGCGGGGGTTTGTTTGTTTATGGGGCGGACTAGAGTTTGGTTCTGTCTTCTTTGACCGCCTTACCCCGCAATCCAAGACATGATGTCCCTCAATCATTGTCCCCTCTATACGACGCGGCATCTGTTTTTTACTGTTCATGTCAGCCGTATTGTCCTTTACCTGTAAGCGAATTTCTTGTATTCGCACCTGGACACCTCCAAGCTCCAAATCAATGACGTGTCAAGCTCAGATTGAGAAAGTGGTGTGGTGGAATTAGTCGTCAATGTACGTCCGCTGCCCCAGAAGGGACAAAGTCCATCATTATGGCTTCTGTTATTCTCCAGGTCTACGAGTTGCCTTTTCAGTAATTAATAAGAAAACCGAAAAAATTGAAGGAAGAAGTTGACAAATTTAAATAAATTAAGAGAAATCATTTCGGCATTGGCTGGTCTAGTAGGTCCAGGCATCATTTAGCTGTTCTGGTACAAGCTACAACACTGGCTTAGATCACAATACGGTTAGGTGCATATCTAACTGTAAGGCCGAGTAAGACAAAGGCAACTCTGTATATCCGGACTTATAGATATCTAGTATGTGCGTTGTGGAGACGGTGCACACCGTTAGAGGCAACGACGACAATGTCTGCGTTAAACCCAACCCCGGGCAATGGGTGAGACGTATAAGACATTAAAAGAAAGGAAACTCTGTTATGGCTAAGGTAACTACATTTGAAAGACACATACTTTATAGCCGCTCCTTGCCGCCAACTATGGTACTTTAAAGCTTTGCTCATAAATAGTTACATTCCACCCAGGCAATAAAGATACACTCACACAGTTACTGTCCTTCATAATATGCTTACTCAAATAATAGATAATTACCATCAAGAGTAATATTTTTTGAAGGAGTCACTTTGGCTTTAAAGGCGGCTTTAAATAAGCAGTCTTTGTTACGGCCCCTGGCACCCTGCACTGGCACTGGCGCCTGGCACGCAACGAACACACCCATTGAATGCCCTCATTGAATGATGACGGCATTGGTCAGCCGCCTTCACTACACCCTTTGTGTACAGTAAAGGCCACAGGACCTATTGATCACAGGACCTATTGATCACAGGACCTATTGATCACAGGACCTCTTGCATTAGCCTAAACCTAGATTTCTTAGATCCATTCACTACAGATGAGAGGTCTATATAAAGGACCTTGGGGCCCGGCCTTATGCCACCCTTTTCTCCTCAGCTTAGAATTACACAATACAGAAGGTCATAACTGCAGCCTTGACTCAGTCAACCTACCTGCCCGTGACAGCTTGCTGAACCACGGTTCAATTGCAAAGACTAAACTGTCTACTTTGGTTGATAGCTGAGGAACCACAAAGGCTCTTCAGCCTGTCTGCTTATATAGAGCCATGGTGGC